TTTGTTGTTTCACAAATCATAGTCCATTTTGTGAAAAATAACCAATCAAATATGTAATTAGGAAATGTGCGAACAAGTGTTAGTAATGTGTATACATTTGTTTCTTTTCTTTAAGTACAATGTTTGAACATTTTTAGCCAAAGCAGTTCAATTATTTCTACATATATAACTCAATATTCATGTATCAAACTTTACCCTTTTTGAGAATGTACTTTAACTCACGAGTCAGGAGATCCATTAAAAAAATAAAATACAACCAGGGAAAAAAAATTAAAAGATTTAGTATTTGGTAATGGGCCGAGAAAAGTTTGGGCTTTAAGGGGAAGATATATCATTTATGGGATTTATGAGAAAACAGGATGAGCCGCCAGCTTCAGTGACAAAAATAAGACAAATAAGACAAATAAGACAAAATCTTAAGCTCAAACCTTTAAATTTATTATAGATTCTTGATTAAAAACTTAAATTTTATTAAAGTAAATAAGTCATTAAATTTGGTAATATAGGTAATTTAATCCTATTTTTTTACTACAAACTAACACCTATTTATGCTTAGGTTATATGAATAAAATATTAATGTCATTATTTACATAATGAATATTAAGTTTGTTCATACAAATGAAGCATGAACAGAAGTTAAGTATATCGAATGAAAAAGGGTTAAATTGTCAAGTTTAGCAACTTATTTACTTTAATAAAATTTTAAAATTATCAACGATTTAAATAGTTCAGTGGTTATCTTCTTTTATTGGAAGTAGAAAGTATTGAGTTTGAGTCAGAGTTTAAATTTGCATGGTATACTGATGGGGTGGGATAAGGGATGAGAAATGGTTATTTTTTATTGTGCAACTAAAATAAAAAAAAAATTGGAGCTTACTCAAGAATTTGAAGTAGATTTGGGGGCTTAAGTGCTTTTCTTTTCTTTTTTTTTTTTAACATTTTGACACGGGGCGGGTTCGAAACCCGTCCAGAGAAGGGAGGAATGCACCTAGCAAGCTGGCTAATGTCAGTGTGCCTCTAGGCCAAGGTGCGGGGGCTTAAGTGCTTAACAGAAGGTTTTGCCCAAAAATAAATAAATAATGGGGATTCTCCACCATTAGCCTATTACCATGCAGTGCTGAGTCAGAAAAGCAGAAAAAAATATTCAATAATATTTGGGGAATCTTCGGCATTAGTCTATTAATTACCATTCAGGGCGCACTCCGGAAAGCAGAAAAAATAGTAGCAATCTGAGATAGAAATTCAAAGAGATGAGTGGAGGAGAAGGAGAAGGGAAAGTGGTGACCGTCACCGGTGCATGGGGTTTCATAGCCTCGTGGCTGGTAAAGCTCCTGCTACAGCGCGGATACATAGTTAAGGCCACCGTTCGTGACCCAAGTCAGTATTTAATTACTCTTATAACTCCTTTTTTTTCCCTGTTATCCCTGTTTTTTCGTTTTTCTTTTTCATTTATCTTTTCTCCATATATGTAATAAGTTAACGACGATTAAAATTTTAGACGCATTAGTTATAGGGATCCCTATTTGCAGTTTAGATTATCTCAACAGCAAAATATAAACTATTAACTGCAAATTATAAGCTACTGAGTGAGGGTAGTTTTAATATCAAAGGATTAATTATTTATCTAATGAATTATAATGAATTAAATTGAGTAGTATAAATTATACAGTACTTTTTTTTTCTTACAAATAATTGGTTGCCTTCCAAAGATTGCATTTTTTTGGTAGAATCTTAATGAGTTTTGGGTGTGGTAAATCAACTTTTATTTTTGGAATTAAAATCTATTTGAATGCGTATGACAGATGATGCAAAAAAAACAGAGCACTGACATGCACTAGATGGAGCCAAGGAAATACTTCATTTATTCAAAGCAGATTTAAGAGAAATTAATCAATTTTTCTCTTAAAAATTGAAAAAAAAATTAATATTCATATTACTTATTTGGTTTTAATTTAAGAATTTATTTATTTTATATTTTAAAAAGTACAAAATAATCATATCATAATTAAAAAATAATATATATTAAAATAAACCTCTAAATTGAATGAAATGAAACCGAAAGTGAGAATATTGGAACATAATAAAATCATTTCAACACAATGACACCTCCAATTACACTTGTTTGACTGGTTGTCATCAACTCCTTAAATTACAATATCAAATGTTACAAATTAAACAACTTTATTAGACTAAAACAGGGGAATAGAAGGAAAAGTAGCCAATAATTTTAGATGTTTAAGAAACCCTTATCCTTTAAGCTTTCAACAGTATCTTTCAAACTCACCTCTAGTGGAATGAAACTCACACCCAAACTTATTGCTTTCTCCTTGGATACCTTGAATGGTATCCCAACAGCTGTATCTTCATATTTTTCATTGAGGTGCAAATTTGGGTATAATTCATCTAAGATCTTCAACACCTTAGAGTTTTCTGCAGTTCTTTCAACAATGCAGTATCTCCCAGTAGCTGAAGGCACTTCAAATGCTAAAATATGTGCAAATGCAACATCTCTAACATCAACAAATTGAGTAAATGGAGGGAGTCCTTGTCCACTTACAATGTTCAACACCATCTCCACTGAGAAATTAATTGTTGGCTGCAAAATAGGGCCAATTACAGCTCCAGGATTTATCACCACCAAATCCATCCCATTCTCTCTTGCAAACTTCCAGGCAGCCTCCTCAGCTAACGTCTTGGAAAGAGTATACCACAATTTAGATTTCAAAAAAAAATTTGCATCAGAAAACCATGTCTCATCCACCACCACATCTGGGGTCAATGGTTTTCCGTTGTATGCAGCTGCAGCCACTGAAGATGTCACAACTACTCTCTTGATTGAACTTACTTTTGCACATGATTTTAGAACACTAAGTGTTCCATTGACTGCTGAATCGATTAATAGTGCCTTATGATGATCAGCAGAAGGGATGATAATCGGGGAAGCTGTGTGAAAAACACCTTCACAGCCATCCACAATAGAATCAAAGCTCCCTTCATCCAATAAATCTGCTTTGAATAAATGAAGTCTTTCCTTAGCTCCATCTAGTGCAAGTAAGTGCTCTGTTTTTTTGGCATCATCTGTCATACGCATTCAAATAGATTTTAATTCCAAAAATAAAAGTTGATTTACCACACCCAAAACTCATTAAGAATCTACCAAAAAAATGCAATCTTTGGAAGGTAACCAATTATTTGTAAGAAAAAAAAAGTACGGTATAATTTATACTACACAATTTAATTCATTAGATAAATAATTAGTCAGTCCAACACAAAGTGACCTAGTGGCCATTCCCCTTGTAGGGGAGGTGTTAGGACATGAAGTCCTGGGTTATATACCCAGGCACTGCTAATCCCCATCCCCCAAAATTCCCTAAGTTCAAAAAAAAAAAATTAGATAAATAATTAGTCCTTTAATATTAAAACTACCCTCATTTAATATCTTATAATTTGCAGTTAATAGTTTATATTTTGCAGTTGAGATAATCTAAACTGCAAATAGGGATCCCTATAACTAATGCGTCTAAAATTTTAATCGTCGTTAACTTATTACATATATGGAGAAAAGATGAATGAAAAAGAAAAACGAAAAAACAGGGATAACAGGGGAAAAAAAGGAGTTATAGAGTAATTAAATACTGACTTGGGTCACGAACGGTGGCTTTAACTATGTATCCGCGCTGTAGCAGGAGCTTTACCAGCCACGAGGCTATGAAACCCGACGCTCCGGTGACGGACACCACCTTCCCTTCTCCTTCTCCTCCACTCATCTCTTTGAATTTCTATCTCAGATTGCTAATACTTTTTCTGCTTTCCGGAGTGAGCACTGAATGGTTTAATAGACTAATGGTAAAGAGTCCCCCATTATTTAATGTTTTTTTGTTTTTTTTACTGGATTATTGATTGATTCATTTATTTATAAATTTATCTAATATGGACTTTAATAACATAAGATAAAAAAATTATTTATTTATATAAACCATGCTAAAAACGTGGTCAAGCACATGTGGGCCACTTGTTAATGGTAAGTTTGAAGGTACAATGCTTGTTCAAATTTTCGGT